TCTTCAAAAGATTAGGCTTAAAAAAGTGATTTTGAAAGGAAATTTTGGTAAATTTTGGTTTAAAGAAGCTTTTTTTAATTGTTTGAAGTCGGAGAAATGATTGATCGGCTTAAAAAAAAAAAAATGTTTTGCCTACTTTTGCCTCACTTTTGGAAAGGCTTAAAAATCATCATTTGGTGTGGTTCGCTTCTCTTTTTTGACGCAAAAATTTTTTATAAAAACAACAAAAGCAAAAGAATCGCGGAATGGGATTATAAAAAAATAAAAAAGAAAATGAAAAAAATGAAATGAAAATCGAAATTCGAGATCTACTTTTTTTGCTTCGAATTTCCGCCGTGTAAATGAGTTGATGAAGAGATTTTTGCGTTTACGATGGGAAGTCCATAGTTTTCGATCGCTAATCGCCAATCTGGAGCGCACAGAGAAAGTTTAGAAAGAGAAGATTGATTTACGAAATAAAACGGAGGAGTTGAAGGGGTAAAAATGGGTAAAAAAAAAGAGAAATCGGTTGAATATTTTTCCTCAATTCTATTGAAATTCTCATCACGTTTTGGGCGTTTTTTTTGTTTTTCAACTGATATTGGGTTGGGGACTATGACTCGGCGTCGAAAATCAAAAAAATGTCTAAAACTTCTATTCGACTTTGTCAAATAATATGCGTTTGATATGAGTAGAATGGTTAACTAATTCTCTACAAAATCACATTTAAAAGAAAATTCAAACAGCGCCTCCGCTCAAGAAAAAGCCATTTTTCACAAAAACTACAAACTGTCATCTAGAAAAAACCATTGGTGGGATCTTCCTGCAAATTTGGCAACTTAAGTAATTGAATGTGCTCTATCTTTTTTATATAAACACCAAAGAAGGTTTATGTGAAAGAAACTGTTCAAATGATGAGTCGGACTCTTTTGCCATTTTAACCAGCTGCGTTTGGAAGTTCATAAACTCCACGAAAGAAAAGCTTTGTGGAATCTCTCAAAAGTGATTTTGTAGAGGAAATAGTGGATCCCTTTGATGAAACCAAACGTATGTTTAAAGAAGGCTTTATGTGTGCAAAAGTCCCTTTAAAGTTTGGCGCCGAGTCATAGTCCCCAACCCAATAGGGAAATCGAGTTTTCTTTCGTAAAAGAAGCAAGCTTTCAGTAATTTTTCTTTAATTTCTTGATTCTTTAGTAATTTCTTGATTTCAGTTGAAATCTAGAAAAGCCAGAGAGAGCTAGAGATTTAAAAGTAATCAATTTTGTTCTTTAGAAAATGTTTACCGATTTAGTTACCTATATTGAAAAGTAAAGGCTCTATTTGAAATCGAAACTCAAAACAAAGTGAAACTGATAAAAAATGAGGGAAAAGAAGCGTTTTATATAGCACAAACAAGCGATTTAGCTGAAATTTTCTGCAAAATGAATCATTCACCGGGAAAACAAAGAGATTTACGAAGTGGAAAGAGTCAATAATTCGCCAATAATCACGTGAGGGAGACGCTTTTGACTAAAGCCAGATTACTCTGGTCAAAACCCAGATTACTGGGTGAAAAACTAGGTTACTAGGTCAACTCAGGTGAAAAAGATCAAAAAAAGCAAAAACATTTTGCGCAGGCCGGAATCGGAACCCGGGTCGCCCGCGTGGCGGGCGAGCATTCTACCACTGAACCACCTGCGCGCTGGGAAGCAGGGGGAAATTGTGGATCTATGAATTTACTAGCTCTAGAGGTCGAGGGGAACATGGGAGCTATGAACGAGCTAAGATTGGCAATCATTTTTTGAGCCAAGACAAGCTACTGGTCTAGCTAGGCTAAGAGTAAAGTTGGTCCAGGATAGGGTTAGGCTTAGGCTCAGGCTTAGGACTAGGCTTAAACTGGCTTAGGCTGGCTTAGGCCCTGGCTTAGGCCTAGGCTTGGTCTTAGGCTGGCTTAGGCTGGCTTAGGCTGGCTTAGGCTTAGTCTGGGCTGGCTTAGGCCTAGGCTTAGACTGGCTTAAGCTTAGGCTTAGACCAGCAGTCAGCTCAGCGCTATAATAAAACCAAAGTTAGCAGTTAAAGCAGTGAAACCAGGCTCAAGTCAAGAAGACAGCTTTTCGGACTATTTCGGCCACTCGGAGCTCGACAATTGAAAGGATTTCTGTAGTCAGACAGAGAAAATGAATGAAATTGGGTCGAAATCCCTTATTTATTTCTATTTAAAGACTGTTATCAGGTTTTTTTTGGGGCATTTCAGTTAGCAGAACTATTTGATTCATTGAATCAAACATCACGGATTACAGTAAAGCACAAATGATTCTAAAACAGTTTCCTTTCTCTCTTTGTTTGTCCAGATGAAAAGAAGAGAAGATCACGGTAGTTCGAGAAAGGGTCACGTTTTAGAAAATGGTTAGGACAAGCTAAAAAGGGAAAGCTATAAAGGAAAATTTTCCTGGTGAGATTCCCATGTGAGCTTTGAGCTCGTGACACATGAGAATTGAGCGATTTTGTAAACGCTGGTCTTCAAGCACACTTCAAGCACACTACAAGCACACTTCAAGCACACTTCAAGCACACTTCAAGCACACTACAAGCACACTTCAAGCACACTACAAGCACACTTCAAGCACACTTCAAGCACACTTCAAGCACACTACAAGCACACTTCAAGCACACTACAAGCACACTTCAAGCACACTTCAAGCACACTTCAAGCACACTACAAGCACACTTCAAGCACACTTCAAGCACACTTCAAGCACACTACAAGCACACTTCAAGCACACTACAAGCACACTTCAACAAGCACGTTCAGCTCTGGCTCGAGTTTTCCGGTTCAATTCCCCAACCCAAATCCAAGGAATCAAAAAAAAAACTGTATCTTTTCCTTATCGATTTGAAAGATTTTGTAAAAGCTTTCAGACACACTGAAATTCGCTTTTATATCAATTTCCCGGTTTCATTTCCCCAATCCAACCCAAGCGAATTCAAATCAAAAAAAAAAAACGTCAAAATTTGGGCGTCTCCCGGTTATTTTTGCATTTATTGTTCATCACTTCTCATCATTTATTGTTTATTTACGTCTGAAAAGGTTCTGTTATCAAAGTTTTCGATGAAATTTGAAAAATTCGTTGCTTTAGGAAAGCTAGAAAAAGAAAAGAGGGAATCAAAGAAAAAAAAAAAAAAAAATTTTTGAAAAAAAGCATATTTTCATCGTTGAAATTTCCAAATTTTCTGTTAAAATAACTAAAAATTTTTTCGTTTTTAGCCGTTATCTAGGGAATGTAGGCATAATTGTAAGCAAAAAAATGCGAAATATTCTCAAAAATTTCTTCAAAAACTCAATGAATAGAATGGAAAAAAAAGAACGAATTTTTTGGATTTGAAAATAATTTTTAGGAAAATTTTCGATAAGAATTGTAAAGATTGGGCTTATTTTTCAAAAAACATTTAAAAATTTGAATTTTCTTTAATCTTAACCCATTCGAAACTTCTGCAGCGAATAATCGCTGCAGCAAAAAACTCAAGAACGGACCGCTGCAGCGATTATTCGCTGCAGCGCTAATTGAGCTATTTTCATTCAATTAATTGTTTTTTTTTGCTGTTTTTCAGCATTACAGTATATTCCAATTGTAGCAGATCTACAAATTACGTGGGCAAAAAAAGATGTTTCCATATTTACCCGGAATCAATGCAGTCTCTGGTTTTGCATTGAAATGCTCAATAATAGCTCTAGCTCTAGCTCTAGCTCTAGCTCTAATCTAGCTCTAGCTCTAGCTCTAATCTAGCTCTAGCTCTAGCTCTAGCTCTAGCTCTAATCTAGCTCTAGCTCTAGCTCTAGCTCTAATCTAGCTCTAATCTTATAAAAGCCGATCTCCTGCAGAATCCAGTTCATTATCACAAAAACGCAGGTTGCGAAGGATGGATTCAAATTTTGCTCTTGACATGATGTGGGACATGTGGGAAAATCCTCCTACTCCAGTAGTCACGAATCCTCGGTAATTTGACGATTCCCATTTGAAGATACAGAGCCAAGGAAGAGCTTGAAAGATTTTGCATCGAAATCCCTGCCAGTTTGTTTTCCTTTTCCATGTTTATTAGATTCGCCTACTAAAATATTGTCGTCGATAAAATAAGAAAAATAATCGATAGGATCTTGAAAAGTACTGAAGTCAAATCCAAATCGTTCTTCATCAAAAATAAATGGTGTAGGAGACTCTCTTACATCTTTCCAACCATAAATAAACTGCTTCGGAGTCAAAAATGTCAAAAAAAGGGCTTGGTCCGTAAACGAAAAAAGAAAAAACGCTGCGGTTTCGAATGGGTTAAAAGATATTAGATCTATTCATTTAGCTAACAAATGCTCAAAAACGTTTGGAAGTGATCGCCAGAGAGACGGCTGAGACAAGGAACAGCTTCGAGAGGGAGCGAACGCGAGACAAACTTCATCCCGGTCAAGGAAAGGGTGAATATTTTCGAATAGTAACTTGATAATGATAGTAAGTTGATTGATAGTAAGTTGTTTTGTGATCTAAAAGCTACAGTTTTCCTTTCCAGACGCTTCACCTCCAAAAAGAGTACGACGAGATTTTGGTTTCGAATGGGTTAATAGAGAAATCGTTGAGATTCACAAAAATCGGACGCTTTTTTGCGGAATTTTCGACTTCAACAAGCTATTCGAGGAAATTTTAGAGCAAAATCTTTTTCTAAACTTTTTAGCTATTTAGCCTAAAAAGCTATTTAGTCGCCATTGAGCTTAGGGTTAGAGAGCCGTTAACTAATTACGTTAACTTAACTAACTTAACCCATGGTGTGGGTTAAGTTAAAAGCAGTTAAAAGCAGCTCAATAGGGACTAAATAGCTTTTAAATTAACCCACGCCATGGCAAACGGCTCTTTAATCCTAAACTTAATGGCGATAACTTTTCCTAGTATTTTGTGTGTTATTGTCCTGTGATTGATGTAGATCTTAGAATAAATCACATTCGGTTGTCTCTGTTTTTTTTAAAAAAAAAAGTTTATTTAATCAAATACCGAAGTAAACTATGCGAAAAAAGGCTCAAAACGATAAAATTGTGAGTAGAGAAGTGCGGTTGAAGAGATCGTATCGTCAACGCCCACTGTTTTCCGTGGATATTTACAAACTAAAACTGGAGTGAAAAGGAAAAGGGAATCGTCGTGAAGCCAAGAAGTGATTGGGCTGAAAAAATTAAATCAAATTAAATCAAATAAAATGCAAAACTTTTCAATTATACTACTAAAGTTATGATTTTCTTTCAATTTTCTTTCAATTTCTTTCAATTTCTTTGATTTTCTTTCAATTTCTTTCAATTTTCTTTCAATTTCTTTGAATCGTTGATTAAATTGTGTTGAAAAAGCTCTTCAAATCAATTTTAAACCCAAAACTTTTAAAGATCATTGAAAAAGTTGACTTTAAAATGAAAACGTTTATAAAAATTATATTTAAAACGATTAATAAAAAGCCAATAGTTTATAACGTATCAAAATTATTCTAGCATTAAATTTCCTAGAAAATGATAAATTAGCCATGAAAGTGGGTACACTGGGGGCTGAGATCTAGGGTCGGGGTACGCCATACTACTGTTTCCGTTGCCCATAGAAAAAATCCGACTTCAACAGGGAACGGTTGAACTCCGTGACCTCTACGTCCGTCTGTCCGTAGAACTTATAAGGTTGTTGTTTTTGGAACTCTAGCTTTTTCGGTTCTCAAGATGAAAGTTGCGCACGGATAGATAGATGGACGGACGGACAGACGGACAGACGAACGAACGGACAGCCAGATAAACGGACGGACAGACAGATAAACGGACGGACAGTCGGACAGACAGACGGACGGACGGACGAATGGACAGACGGACGGACAGACAGACAGACGGACAGACGGACAGACGGACAGACGGACAGACAGACGGACGGACAGACAGACAGACGGACAGACGGACAGACAGACGGACAGACGGACAGACGGACAGACAGACGGACGGACAGACGGACAGACCAACGGACAGACGGACAGACAGACAGACGGACAGACGGACGAACGGATAGACAGACAGACGGACAGACGGACAGACAGACGGACAGACGGACATACAGACGGACGGACAGACGGACGAACGGATAGACAGACGGACAGACGGACAGACAGACGGACGGACAGACGGACAGACCACCGGACAGACGGACAGACAGACAGACGGACAGACGGACGAACGGATAGACAGACAGCCGTCAATTATATAAAGTAGATTACGGCTAGCCCGTGAAGTGAGTGACCTGCATCACACGGTGTTTTTTTTAAAGAGACCGGAAACCACGTGACGTTTTGAGTCATTCTTTATTTTCTTAAATCATATCCCAAATGGTTTTCCATTTAAAATAATTTTCTGACAAATTACTTATAAAATGTGGTTTCTTTTTAGACTCACTGATGTGGATCGAAATGGTAATTCTTTTGGAGAGACGAATCGAGAAGAAAACTTTGCGACGTGCGACTCTCGAGCAGATCTTGAGCCTGAATTTGAGGAATCGATTCAATATTCTCGAAATAGCATCCTGCCAGGTTTTTTTAAACTATTTGACTTGCAAATTATAGCCTAAATATGAGCCAGAAGCTAGAAAAGGCTTTCGAAGTAATGCTAGAATCTGACTTCTCACCCTTTTTGATCTTTAAAAATGTCTTGACCTTTGGACTTTGGCTTTGGCTTATTATCAGTGAATCTTGTTCAACTTTGAGCCTCTAGGATTAACGATGACTTTAGCTACAGTAAAAATCACATTTAGATGGGAGAAGTTTAAATACAATCGTTTAAATAAATCATTAAAGTAAAGAAATCAATGGGAAATCATTTGAAATCGATGGAGAATTGAACCCTCGACATTCTGCTTATTGGGTAGACTTTTCCACTGAAAAGCTATCAGCGCTTTCTTTGCCCAAGAAGAAAGAAAGAAGGCGAGGAAGAAGAAAGGAAGACAAGGAAGAAGGAGGGAAGACAAGGAAGAAGAAAGAAGGCGAGGAAGAAGAAAGAAAGACAAGGAAGAAGAAAGAAAGACAAGGAAGAAGAAAGAAAGACAAGGAAGACAAGGAAGAAGACAAGGAAGACAAGGAAGAAGAAAGGAAGACAAGGAAGACAAGGAAGAAGACAAGCAAGCTCACTTCAGCCTTTTCCCCGCCGCAAACAATTTTTCCCGCGATTCTCGCTCCACTCGCTAATCCTGATGCTAAATTCGACCAATCTGAGCCAGTTGCAACCTAAAATATTAAATTTTAAAATATCTAAATATATCTAGATATCTCTAAATCAACTTTAAAGACAGGGAAGAAGAAAGAAAGACAAGGAAGAAGAAAGGAAGACAGGGAAGAAGAAAGGAAGACAGGGAAGAAGAAAGAAATTAAGAAAGAAAGAAGGCAAGGATACTATCAAAAATCGCTGACCACCACATGAAAAGTCAAACAAGTAAAATGAATCCTTGACAATCTCTTCAGCTTCTCTTCAGCATTCGTCGCGTTTTTCGGCTTTCCATATTTCGTGATCAACCAGTGTAACATGTCAATGACCTAGAAAAAGATAAACTATGTTTAAATTCTATGAGAAATTTTCTAGATAATAGAATTTGAAACCTTATGCGTGTGCAGAGCTCCACCGACAACCGGGTACTCGTTTGGATGCGGTCCGCCGCCAACCTGGAACAGAATTAACACAATTTTTGGAGATAATTCAACCTATTTTTCGCTAACTTTTAATTTTATAACTTGGCCAGAATACTATGCAAATACTGAGCATAAAAAAAGCCTCAATTCTTGTTTTTAAAAAGCGCTTCCAGATGAGTCTTTTTAACTCCGCCATTTTTTTTTCGCTTCGTGCGCCGTTGGCAATCTAATATGGCAATCAACCAATATGGTTCCAATATGGTTCCTTCCAGGAATTCGGTTTCAATATGGTTCCAATATGGCTCCAATATGGTTCCTTCCAGAAATTCGGTTCCAAGATGGCTCCAATATGGTTCCTTCCAGAAATTCGGTTCCAATATGGCTCCAATATGGTTCCAATCTCGTATCTTAGCTGGATTTGTTTGAAAAACTTTGAATTTCCTTTCATTCAATAGAAAATTTGATTTCAAGTCAAATAAATCCAAATTCAACCTTTAGAAACAAGAATTTGATGAAGGATTTCTTGTTTGGCTTTGTAGCATCGAAGCATTGCTTTGTTTTGCTTGCTTTGCTTGCTTTGCTCATAGCATCGAATTCTAGCCAAGATATGTACCCAAAAGTTAAACAAAAATACGAAAAGTAGATAGAATTTGATTAAAAATTCAGTCTTACCATTACATAATAAGATTAAAGTTTTTTTCGTTTCAAACCTTTGCCAATAGCGCTAACTGTTGCTCAGTTAAGGCCAACGAGTCGGCGTAGGGGAGGATCTAGAAAAGAAATGAGATAGCTACGTTAAAAGTTGATGAGTCTGGTGGCCAAGGACCTGAGCCAGTATCAGGCTTAGGTCCAGGATCAGGCTAAACTTCAGGCTAGGACATGAGTCATCAGTCCAAGTGAGCCACTGTCAGGCTTAGGTCCAGTATCAGGCTAAACTTCAGGCCGTGAGCCGTGAGTTTAAGTGAGCCACTATCAAGCTCAGGCCTAGTATCAGGCTAAACTTGAAGCTAGGCCTAACTATAAGACCTACTACAGAACCTAAGAAGTAATAGAGCCTATCAGAAAGCAGATCAAAGTCTAGCCACCGGCCAAACGCACCTTTTCAAGAACACTCTTCGCGAACTCTTGATCTCCACCCAATCCCCCCAGCTTCAAATGGATCGGCACTCGTGAATCAATCTGCACAATGTTTCGCTTGATTAAACGGAGTTTTTCCACTCGAACGTCTTTCTCCTGAAGTTAGATTCTGCATAAGCGCTCTTATCAGCTGCTTGATCTGATAGATCTGATAGATCTGATAGATCTAATAGATCATCAGATCTATCAGATCAGCTGCTTGCCCAGTTACCAATTTGGAATAAATTGATTGATCTTTATCTCTTCAAGTTATACTAGTTGATGTTATAGTAAGTAGAAACTATATTTTGAGGATTATGGTAGCCGATTCAGCTCTGTACTGTACGGCACTGTACTCTAGCTCCAGGAGTACTATAGTGCACCAGATGGACTAGGGTACTGCTTTAGACAGTGCTCTGAACTTTGGAAGTACAGTCAACAGTGGATTACAGTACCCTACTCCATCTGGTGCACTATAGTACTCTTGGAGCTGGAGTACAGTGCCGTACAGTACATAGCTGAGGTACTATACGGCGTAGTGCTCGAGTTTTGCCTAGTACTTCAACTCCAGTAGTACTATAGTGCATCGGATAATCTACTCGATCATTTCTCTTACCAGGAACTCCAACAAGTGCACTCCGGTTATAATAACGAGATCCGGTTGCACGGTGGCGATCGCCTTGAAGAACATCTCGATCAAGATTGTGCTGCTGCTGAAAAATATTAAACTTTGCAAAAAGAGGCGGTTGACGGAAATTCTGGATCAATTACCCAACCTGTACAAATCATGTGATGTGATGAAACGAGAGCTGCCCAATGCCACGTGTTCTCCCAAAACTTCTCCCTGTTTATACTCCAATATCACATGCAATTCATCTTTTGTGATCCTTGTTGAATTGCTTCTTTTGATTGACGGATGGAGAAGAGCCTGGCTTCGGGGACCGATTGGGCCAACAAGATGCACCTAGATGGGACAAGATGGGTCTAGATGGGACTGGGTGGACCTAGATGGGACATGATGGACCTAGATGGGACAGAATGGGCCTGGATGGGACTGGATGGACCTAGATGGGACAGGATGGACCTAGATGGGACAGGATCGGCCTGGATGGGACTGGATGGACCTAGATGGGACAGGATGGACCTAGCTGGGACACGATGGACCTAGATGGGACAAGATGGATCTAGATGTGACTGGATGGATCTAAATGGGACTGGATGGACCTAGATGGGACATGATGGACTTAGATGGGACAGGATGGACCTAGATCGGACAAGATGATCCTAGATGGGACAGAATGAATCTAGATGGGATAGAATGGACCTTACAAGCAACCCAAAAAACAGGATTTAAGAGATCTATCTGCAAGTTAGACCAGGCCTAGGCATCGCTTCCAGCAAAAACGGTCTAAATCTTGGCCTAGCACCTTGGCATGCCTTGGTTCTGGTTTGCTTGCTTGAAAGCAATGTTTCTGCAGCAGGGAAATACCAAAATCAACCAGTACTGGTATCAGTACTGATTTTAGTGTCTTGGCATAGGAGTAGTAACAGGATTTCATCTCTAATACTGGTCAAGAACCTTGCAAGCCAGTTTTAAGCCTTAGAATCGTAGCTCTTGCTTCTGCTTTGACTCTAGTAGTCCGCTTCTAGTTCCGATCTGTCCCATGAACGTGTAAATCTTGAGCTATGGTTAGATTTGCATTGATCGATTTCCCAGAGTCAAACCTCGGTCCACGGGAAATTCGAGGCGATTCGTGTGGCGAGTAAAGCTGCATTGCCGCCAATGTGGTACTGAAATGAGTATTTGTAACTGGTACTTGTAAGGCTTACAAGGTAAGGCTTAAAAGGCAAATAAACTTCGAAAAAATCCGTTTTCTCTACCTGCATTCTAGGCATTTTCTCTGCCGTTTTGACCATCATCGAGAAAGTTTCCTCATTTTTTATAAATCTCTCAGCAGCGGCTCCCTTTTGGAACATATAGTGAAAGGATTCGGCCAAATCGTTTAAATTATTTAAATTCTTGTGATCAAAGCCTCGATCAACGGATGAAAGATTTAAAGAATCAAGCAGCAAAACGCCCGGCACGATCAGATCAACATTGCAGTTGAAACTGAAATTGTAAACGCACTCTTTCTGGTAGACCAATAGTTGTCACAGATAGTGCACCAGAAAGGGTGAGTTTCTAATTCAAAGTACAAAGTTCAAAGTACAAAGTTCAAAGTACAAAGTTCAAAGTTCAAAGTACAAAGTACAAAGTACAAAGTTCAGAGTACAAAGTTCAGAGTACAAAGCTGTCACAACTAAACGCAACCTCTCTGGTGCACTTAATTCTTCATTTTTCTTGCGTCATCGTTGTTATAAAAGAAAATCGGTTTCAGTGCGCTAGAAGGTGTGCGTTTCTAGATAGAGCACCTCCAAAGCACTCTTTACCCACCCGACAACAGCTTTTCGAAAAGAAGAACTTGGTTGGGTGACGGCTCGATCGAAAGCTGATAACATTGCGTGCTCAACGGAATCGGAAGCTGATCTAGAATCAAATATTATGGCAAGACAAAACTCTCCGACATAAAAGAATACAGTAACTGTATTCAGTATTCAGTTGGAACCAGGAATCAAAACGTTTTCCTCCACCGAGACTCGAACCACCGACCTTTCGATTACCAGGCAACTGTGCTAACCATTACACCACAACGCACGCGATCTCCTGCACTCCAGAGGGCGTTAACTAGTCATTGCTTGCTTAACTTTACGTCAATCTCCCCCTCCTCCCATTGATAGCCCCCATTTTCCCCCCGGCCTCCCAGCGCGCAGGTGGTTCAGTGGTAGAATGCTCGCCTGCCACGCGGGCGACCCGGGTTCGATTCCCGGCCTGCGCAAAATGTTTTGGCTTTTTTGTTTTTTGCATAACTCTGTATTCTAGAGGTTATTCATTCAACCCATACCGTAATTTGTATTAAATTAAATCTTCCGAATGATTTACCAAAGGTTTACGCCTTTTTCTATGAACAAAAGGAACGCGTTCATCATCGAGTTTTGACTAGCTTTATCTTGATTTTTATGAAAAAAAAACTAAGATTCAAATTGGAAATCGGCCTCAAGTTTCGAGGCACAGCTTTGTAGATTCTGTTCCAATAAACGTAATTTAAAGTACCCTAAAAGCTCTAATAGAAGAGCCGTCTAAAGGAGCATCTGAGTTTACGCTTAAAGAAGCACTCATATCTCAGCACCAGTACCTTTATTTTAGCGCTTTTATGTATCAAATTAAAGTAGAGAAAATGGGTGTTTTTTTGCGCTATAATACATCTTTTTAGCATTAACCAGCGCTTTGAAAAAAATGATTGAAAAATGATGAAAAATCGTCTTTTTTTTTGCCACTTTTCAATCATCTTTTTCTAAGCGCTGGTTAAAGGTAAAAATACATGTAATAGCTCAAAAAAATACCCATTCTTTCTACTTTAATTTGATACATAAAAGCGTGGAAAGAAACGTACTGGTGCCGAGTTATGAGCGTTTATTTGAGAGTAAACTTACGACTACGCGACGCTCCTATGGGGGGTGCTTTCTATTAGAGTTTAAATGCAAATTTGTAGTGATTTTGTAGTGATTTTGTGAGCGAAAAACCTAAAACTCACCTTTTCTGATCGTTGAAATAGCTATAAAAATAGGGAATCAGAAAGAAAATCAAAGAAAAATGGAGTAAACGGTGACGCTCGGAGAACGGGTTCAGCGTATGGGATTCCATTTTTCGGCCGGTGGGACAAATGCTACCTTTTTTTTGCGCACCTGTAATTTGCGCACCTTTTTTTTGCTGGAAAAGGCCTTAGGCAAGGCCGTAGAGCTTCGAAAATATTTCCATATAAGGGAATCGTATGCGTAGATTCCGAATTTCGACAAATCACACCTCGCTGACACGTCAAATTTGGGCTAAAAGGCAAAAACTGCGGAAAAGCGTTAAGTTGCGTAGTTTTTGCCTTTTAGCCCAAATTTGACGTGTCAGCGAGGCCTGATTTGTCGAAATTCGGAATCTACGCATACGATTCCCTTCTATGAAAACATTTTTGAAGCTCTACGACTTTTCCTAAGGCCTTTTCCAGCAAAAAAAAAAGGTGCACAAATGTCCAGGTGCGCATAAAAAAGGTCTCATTTGTCCCACCCCCATTTTTCGCGAAAATACTATCAATAAACGAATTTCGATAAAAATATTCAGTTAAGCATTTGAAAATGAATAAAAATGAATGAAAATGAATAAAAATGAATAAAAATGAATGAAAATGAATAAAAATGAATAAAAATGAATAAAAATGAATGAAAATGAATGAAAATAATCAATGTTTGACTGGAAAACAAAACAAAAAAGCAGAAAAAACAGAAAAACAGAGAGTGAGACGAGTAAACAAGTCTTTTTTTTTCCTTTTTGTCTCTTTTTCTCTCGTTTCTCTTCAAAAAGCTCAAAAAAGCTGAAAAAATATGAAAACAACCCAGAAATTCCCGGGTTTTTAAAAGGTTTTTCTGGAAAATTGATTAATTCTTATGATCTAAATCAATTCTTTATTTCTGTTTTGCGTTCTTTGCGTTCTTTGCGTTCTCTGGGCCATTCGATTTTGCTCGTAAACGCACTTAAATCTAGCAATTGCCCAATCTGTCTGCATTTATCTCAAAAAAAAAAATACAAATCCATTCAAGTGCGTTTTTTGATCAATAGAAAGAAAACCGATCTAAACTTGGAGAAAATAAAGTAAAAGTAAAAGTAAAGTAAAGCAATTCAAGCATTCAAGCCGGTGGGGGAAAAATTTTTGATTCCTAGTTCCAAAGACGGACAGACGGGCAGACGGGCGGACAGACGGGCAGACGGGCGGACGAGCGGACGGACAGACGGGCGGACAGACGGGCAGACGGGCAGACGGGCAGACGGACAGACGGGCAGACGGGCGGACGAGCGGGCGGACGGACGGACAGACGGACAGACGGGCAGACGGATCGACGGACGGACGGACAGACGGGCGGACGAGCGGACGGGCAGACGGGCGGACAGACGGGCAGACGGGCAGACGGACAGACGGGCAGACGGGCGGACGAGCGGGCGGACGGACGGACAGACGGACAGACGGGCAGACGGATCGACGGACGGACGGACAGACGGGCGGACGAGCAGACGGGCGGACGGGCGGAGAGACGGACAGACGGGCGGACAGACGGGCAGACGGGCGGACAGACGGGCAGACGGGCGGACAGACGGACGGACGGATCGACGGACGGACGGACAGACTGACAGACTGGATAAGGCAAAGTTTCTCTGTAAATGTGTTCTATGCTTTTACATAGTAAATCTTCGATAATCAAATCTTGAAATGAAATTTTCGATAACCAGATCTTCACGCTTTTAAATACTCCATTACTTAATTCCTTAATCAATCAATTTATTTAATTAGTCAATCAATTTATTTCCTTAATCAATCCCAAAACGATAAAAACACAATAAAGCCAGCCAAATTCAATGCTTGAAAGAACAGTAGGAAGCCGATGTGTCGATGGAAAATGCCGAAGATTGGTCGGAGAGGTTCCATGGAAGAAATCTCACTGAATAGCACTCTTGCATTCATCAGCCATCAACTAAACCTGAGCTTGCACTTCTTTCCTGACAGTTTCTCATTTTGTTGTTGTTGATGGTCTTGGTGCTTGTTTGGATTGGGCAAGCAGTTGAGAGTGATGACAACACAAGCCAAAGAAATAATCCCCACACAGCAGACCACATAAATACCTAAAAATTTGTTAGTAAGATCGCAGCTTCTTTTTGGGAAGAAGCAGCTTTCGCTTTTCTTACCAAGCAACGGGAAAACAGAAGTCTTTGGGATCGAATCCGAGAGCATTTCCAAGAGCACCGTCATTGAGACGAGACTTGTCAGACCAATCGATAACTAAAGAGATAGCTAAAGAGTACGACAATCAGCTGGAGCATACTCTATTTCATTAGAGTATGCTCTAGCTGATTGCTGGTTGCTGATTGCTGGTTCCAGCTATTGCTGGTTGCTGATTGTTGATTGCTGAATCGGATGCTGATTTTGTTACCTTGACGAGTTGCTCTTTTTTGATGTTTCGCGTCCAAAACATGCCCACCTAGAAATAAAATTGAAATGTTAACGAGCTGTTAACTGCGATAGGTCTGTTAACGAGCTGTTAACTGCGATAGGTCTGTTAACGAGCTGTTAACTGCGATAGGTCAACATTTGTTTAAATTTCTAGTAATTTCTAGTAATTTCTAGTAAAATTTCCTCACCACCGATAGAGCTGTCAAAATGAAACACGGTAAAGCGATCACGTAAACGTAGAAGTTGGGCACGCGGCGAATGTTGAGTAAATAGAATGTCTGAGAGGAATTTGAAAATATTTTGAAGTTCCCCTCACCACTTCCATTCCGGCTTCAACAATGTTAAGCGTGGACACGTTTGTCACATCCCATTCCCCATTTCCCTGAGAATATTTTGAATTATTATTTTGAATGTTCAAGTCATTTTCAGAGTTTCTTAGCAATTACTGCTTTCATCTCTGTAAAGATCTTTCTGTAAAGATCCAGAAGTTTAGCCTTGCTTTCGTTTTTTCCATTCAACTCCCCAAACCATCTTACAGTTAGTTTTAGCCTTCATTGTAGTTTGACTACGAGAAGTTCCAGATTCTCCATTCGGCTCCCAAATGAAAATATTAGGTTATCCAATAAAAACCCAGAGATTTTGAATTTCATTTATTTTCAACAAAAAGGAACAACGAAGAATCAGAATGAAATGATATTTATAACTTTTCTCCAACGTTTTCCAATCCCTCGTTTGTAAAACCCAAGCGGTCGCGAGTGAAATAATCTTTCAGTCAATCCTCGAGTTTACTCTCACCTTTGAACTTTTTACCATCTAAGAAATCCTTTAGCGATAAGAACAAGTGATAGTCAGTTCGTATTGATTGATTTGTATTGATTGATTTGTATTGATTGATTGATTGATTGGTTCGTATTGATTGATTCGTGTTGATTGATTCGTGTTGATTGATTCGTATTGATTGGTTCGTATTGATTGGCTCTCCCTGTCATGGCTCTCCCTGTCATGGCTCTCACTGTCATGGCTCTCACTGTCATGGCTCTCCCTGTCATGGCTCTCACTGTCATGGCTCTCACTGTCATGGCTCTCCCTGTCATGGCTCTCCCTGTCATGGCTATCACTATCATGGCTATCACTATCATGGCTGTCAACACAAATCAACACAAGACACAAAAAACAGAACAAGAGGAAAAGAGAACAACCATCATTTTAGATGGAGAAGTTACAATTGTCTGGATGATAAGGGTTACATTCACTTCCGTGTGAATCAAAGTCTCAATTTTTGTTAAATTAATGATGCTATCACATCTAAATTTTACCCGAAGTGGATTTTTTTATGGGAAACTTTGTAGTTTTTGTTATTCTTATCTTTAACATTAGTAATTTCTATTAGTTAATATTTACATTATAATCGCTGAAAATCATGACAACAAACCCATTGGATGAAAGCCTTTGTGATTGTGGCCGATCCAACTTGATTGCCCATCTGTTTCACCATTGCATCGACATACTAGAAGCTAATATAAATATTGTTTAAAGAAAAAGGTCAGTTTACCGCCTTATTCGAGTATAAACTGAGGAAAGGATCGATTTCAGCAGTTGTCGAAAGGAAACTTCTGAATGAAAGACGATTAAGTAGGTAAAAGTACAGTAACAAACATAATTTTGGAAACTTTTATTTTTCCTAAAAAAAATTTCTTAGTAATTCGGTAATTTAGCTCTTAGTAATTTAGCTGATTCGGTATATTTACTAGCGAAAGCACGGTAAACAGCACGTAATAGGCATAAAAAGCACGTAATAATCGATAAAAAGAACTTCTGAACTTTTTGAAAACTATTATTTTTAATGCATTTGTCTATAAACCCAGAGGACATAAATTTGGAAACTTTTAAAAACAATTCTAAATAATGACGTAACAAACGATTAAACTTCGAAATTACAACAAAAACAAGTAAATGAATACTTTGTGGGAAATCCTTTCAAATCAATGACAGCCTGGCACCGAGCACTCATCGAGGCGACCGTTGTCGTTGTCGACGTTGACGTTGTCGATGTCGACGTTGACGTTGTCGATGTCGACGTTGTCGATGGTTGTTGTTGGAATTTTCATCCATTTCTTAGGCAAAAGCTCGAATTTTTCATTAAGATTATAGCACTTAACGCCTTTACAGCCTCTCTCCAGAACTTCCCATAGATGTTCAATAGGGTTTAAATCAGGACTCTGGCTCGGCCATTCCATAAGATTAATTCCTTCCTTCAGAAACCAGTCCTTTACAAGCCGCGAAGTATGTTTCGGATCATTGTCCTGTTGAAAAAGAAAATTGGAAGGCATCAACTAAAGGGCATTTGGAAGCATATGTTTCGATAAAATGTCCAAGTAAACATGTTTGTCCATAATTCCATCAATGCGTTTTAATGGGATCATTCCGTAAGCTGAAAAGCCGCCCCATACAAGAACACTACCACCGCCGTGTCTTTCTGTGTCTTCCTGTATGCTTATGAGCATTCGCTGATCCAGTTCCGGCTATCCAACAACAACCATCGACAACTTGGTCGCCTCGATGAGTGCTCGGTGCCAGGCTGTCATTGATTTGAAAGGATTTCCCACAAAGTATTCATTTACTTGTTTTTGTTGTAATTTCGAAGTTTAATCGTTTGTTACGTCATTATTTAGAATTGTTTTTAAAAGTTTCCAAATTTATGTCCTCTGGGTTTATAGACAAATGCATTAAAAATAATAGTTTTCAAAAAGTTCAGAAGTTCTTTTTATGGATTATTACGTGCTTTTTAGGCCTATTACGTGCTGTTTACCGTGCTTTCGCTAGTAAATATAACGAATCAGCTAAATTACTAAGAGCTAAATTACCGAATTACTAAAAAAATTTTTTTAGGAAAAATAAAAGTTTCCAAAATTATGTCCGCTATTGTACATAGTTAAAAGTACATAGTTAAAAGTATATAGTTAAAAGTACATAGGTAAGAGTATGTAGGTAAAAGTGATTGATATCATTTTAAATCTACAATCTTCCGCCAAACGTACGCGTCAAAAGCTATCGACATGATCGGGATCGGACAGATTTGCTTGTCGAATGGAAAAGTGTCGATCTAAAGTCTGCAAGTGGATTTTCCGGGGATTAAACTTTCTTAAATCGATGCAATTTGTGCGAAAAATGACTCGAAATCGATTCACGAAACATATTCAGCTCATATTTCTTACAACAATCGGGCACGCCACTTCGGTGTAGTAGAAATCGGGAAAATAGACGGTACCGTTGCTGAAAAGGTGCGCGAATCGCATGAACTCATCCGGTTTCACCGAGTCAAGAGATTTGCTAAACAATGAGGCAAATATTCACGAGAGTCATTGATTTAAACTCACGCGTTTCCAATAGAACAATCCGGGATAAAAAGTGCATCGGAGGAAACGAAAATGGACTCGACTCCGTCAAAATCTCTTGGATTCCACGCAAGTCTTGCGTCTTGCCATGTCTAAAAAGCAACTTGTTTGTAGTTTGTATTTTTCAACTCTATTTCACTATAAAGTTATGAAAAAGGTTGATAAATTCAATCAAATATATATCGTTTAGGAAATTCAGCCGCTAACGAATGATTCGTTAGCGGCTAGTCGATTAGGAATGATTCTTTAGCGGCTAGTCGATTAGGAATGATTCGTTACCGATTACGAATCAATCAATACGAATCAATCAATACGAACCAAACAATCAATCAATCAATACGAATCAATCAATCAATCAATCAGTACGAACCAAACAATCAATCAATCAGTACGAACCAAACAATCAATCAATCAATACGATCCAATCAATCAATCAATCAATACAAATCAATCAATACAAGGCTACCATATTCTATTCTAATAGAAGCACAACCTCCAATAGAAGCAATTTGGTGGAATGATTGAAAAATAGAAACACTCCCTCGAATAGAAGCACTATAGATATTCAGCTTCGTAGACTGAATACCTTTAGTTTTAAGCCTTTAAGAATATATAAAGCGTTTCCTTGGAAAAAATAGCATTCTTTATCATTTGTTTTTAGCAATTTTGATGTTTTTGAGCGAGTAAATTTGATAAGTTAGCAATTTTGATGATTTCTTGTAATTAAGTAGCTTATTTGAAACGAATCATTCGTAATCGGTCAGCCGTTAACGAACGATTCGTTAGCGGCTGAATTTCGTAGACGGCTACAACATATATAATGGTCGATTTTCTTTTTGTTCATCTAACAGGTATTTTGCTTTTGCAGGAATCTAACTCGAATTACCATTTTCAGCTCGAGATTCAGACTCAACAGTTGACTCTCAGCGTCCAATGAGATCAATTTGATGTACCAGAGATCGAAATGAACATGCATTTTGTCGATTGTTTCAACTGAATTGGATAAACGCAAATAGTAGACACGGAAAAAAACTTGTTGAATTCTCAAATTTCGTGTAGACCGGTGCCAGATATCGATTGTAGCTACGATGCGTGAACAACTCATTGTACAAGTTGCTCGCCTCGTTCGTATAGGTTAAATTAGCTAAGCTAAGATAATTAGCTAAGCTCTGGCTAAGTTAGCTAAGCTCTGGGCAAGTTAGCTAAGCTTTGGCCAAGTTAGCTAAGCTCTGGGCAAGTTAGCTAAGCTCTGGCTAAGTTAGCTAAGCTCTGGCTAAGTTAGCTAGGCTTTGGGCAAGTTAGCTAAGCTCTGGCTAAACCGATAAACCGATTTTCCCGAGAAAATTGCTTTAAGACTTTTTCATTTGAATAATCTGAATTAGTTGAAAGCTGAATTCTTTTTGAAAACTTTCACACACACCTGTACCATTACTGCTGTTGAATTGAGCAACGAAGCCATTCATAAAACAAATCGAGAACAACAAGAAGCCAAATAAATTTCTCATCTATATTCTGATGAATAGATTCTGATGGACTTGAATGGGGGAAAAAGGGCAAAATGGGTTTTTTTGGACGGGATTGAACTCGGAAATGTGAGAATATTGAAAGATGAGGAGACTCTGTTTTATTGGTTCTTTCGCGTACTGGAGGGTACTTGAAGTCAAAGTCAAACATTCTCTCTCGTTCATCATCGATCAACGAGTTATTCCAATTTATTTCGTAGAAAATATTGACCAACAAATATTGAGCAAAAAAATATGACCATAGAACAAATGTTTTCATAATTTTCCCTTTATAAAGTTGATTTTTCGATTACTAACAAGTATGTGCGGGATCTTTGACCTTTTCTTGATCATCAATCAGCGGCTGAAGATCAGAATTCGATGTTTCAGGTCAAACGAAAAGGTTTTCTTTGTTTCTTTGTTCTAAACAAGTTTAATCTAATACCTTCAAAGTGCTAACAAATAAAAGAATCTTTTGCCGAACTAACGTTGAATTTTTCGACATCAGTATTCTCTATAGTATTCTGCATCTTTTCGATCATTGATCTCATTCATTTTTACTCTGCTTATCATTATACACTTTCCCCTTACCAGCGACAAAGTTTTACCGAAATGTTTAAATTGGAAATTTAATTGGTTTCAGTTTAGCTTACGAAATCTAAAAAAGTAAGCTAGGTAGATAGTAAGCTAGATAGATAGTAAGCTAGATAGATAGTAAGCTAGATAGATAGTAAGCTAGATGGGTAGTAAGCTAGGTAGATAGTAAGCTAGATGGATAGTAAGCTAGGTAGATAGTAAGCTAGATGGATAGTAAGCTAGGTAGATAGTAAGCTAGATGGATAGTAAGCTAGGTAGATAGTAAGCTAGATGGATAGTAAGCTAGATAGATAGTAAGCTAGGTAGATAGTAAGCTAGGTAGATAGTTATGACTGAAAATAGGAAATATTTAAAATTTTTAAAAAACACAAAGAAAGATTCATTTATAAAGGGAAAAACATATGGAAATCAAGGTGCCAGATATGTAAATATAGAGGGTAAAACTCAAACTTAACATTTCTCTATGAAAAACACTATTAGAATCTCTATAGTACTAATCAGCCTTCGGTACCGAAGACCAATTAAACTACGTCTAAAAAAGAGTTCTCAAGCAATTTTAAACAAAAAAATTTTTTTAGGAAAAAAAGTACAGTCTAATTACCTTGTTTTTTTTTGAAATCTCTTAAGAACACTTTTCTAGACCTAGTTTTAGCCGTGGAGTTCAGATCCGCCGACAAAATCGGGGATCACCTAACAAAAAGTACTCTTTTTCGTTAATAATTGTACAATTATTAGAAAAACACGGACTTTTTGTCGAGAAACTAGAATTTTTAACTGCGGCTTCGGAATCTACGTGACATTTTACATCTAGAAAAGTGATGTATAACCAGATTAACCGATTATAATCAGGGTACTGACTCAAGTCAGTACTCAAGTCAATACTCTGAAAAGGTCAACTTATTCTTATAAAAATTTATTCAATTGCAAAATAATATGCACAACTAAAGTACCAATGAAAAAAATCGGTTTTATAAAAATTTTTTAAAAAAAATATATGAAAAACGAAAGCGGAGCAGACTCAATATATTTATAGACCCAAAAAAGTGAACTCAAATAAACCACTAACTAATTCTGAGAAAAAATTATTGATGCAAAGAAACCGCTATGAGGCCACCAGAAATGACTAATAAAGTGGTTAGACTTTTGGGCTAATTCTCACGAATGTCACGAAAGCCAACAGAACACAGAATTTAGAAAAGGCTAAATCAAACTCAGATTCCTTGTCGACAGGCGGCACAGAGAAGTTTTCCATCATGTACTCGAGCTTTTGCTTCATCAGCTCGATAGTGCAACGTGGTATCAAAACATCGTCTGAAATCAGAGTAACTTATTGGGGCTAGCTTCTGAAAAAAAAACTTACGTATGCCACCATTTTAAACATCCGTCTTGGCATCTCAAACACGCCTTCCCACACATGGTTTTATGGCATTTGGGGCAACCATCATTTTTCCTTATGTGAGTATCTATAAAATCAAAAGACTTTTTAAGTGAAAAATTTAATACTTTAAAAATTTCAAAATAATGAGACAATTCTATAAAATCTATTATTCGAAAAATATAATAGAAATTTGACGTACCTTGATTTTTATCACTCAATGCATTTTCATAGCCACGGGGTTGAGATGTTGACGTATGAATGAAGTCGATGAGAGCGCCGTCTTCATCACTATTATTGTCCTTGTGACGGATCCTCTGAAAAAATGGAAAATTAAATGTAATAGTAATTACATAAAAAACTTTAAGTAGTAGTAAAATTTTTCATGGTATGTCACTTGATTTTTTTTCGCTAATATCTTGTGATTTCAGTAAAATTTTACCTGATTAGACGGGCCTGGTTGATCGGAATTGGAAGCAGACTCAACTTCCGCGATCGTCTTCAAGCTATCTCGAAACAGATCACCTGAGCGACGTCGCTTTTGGCAAGTAGCGGCAGCAATGGGCGATTTCGCGGGGGTGTCCTGTACCATAGGAGTGGAATGAATCACTAAAACAATAGATTAAATAGAATGACTAGATTACACTAGACTAGAAAATACAAAAAAGAAAATACATAAGTAGAAAATATAATCTTAAAATAAACATACAGCCATTGCCGAGAAGCGATAAAGAGGCAGTCGAGAGATGAAGACATGGAAGAGACGTTTTCATTTAATTCATCGTCTAAAAATTCAAAGATTAGTGCTTTTGCTACATTATTTATTTATAGAAAATGAAAAATATTAAATACAAAGCAAGTCGAGTTGACAAAAATTAGAAATTAGTAAAATAGAAAAAACCCACACAAAACCGAAGATTGGAGTGAAGCATTAGAAGCAATGCTAGCTGTCGAAGAGGAAGAAGACGAAAAAACGGTACTTGAGCGCAAGGAAGATGATGACACGTCGTCATCTTCCGGAGCCTGCAGGACCTTGTCGAGTACATCAAAAATGTACTGCTCGATCGGGATCACCGGCACGACGACGCCCGCATCAATTTGAAGTGCCACGTCGTCGATGCTGGCCTGCAGTTCGCAGAATGCGGCGAATTCCATCGCTGAAATCACAAGATATTAGCGAAAAAAAATCAAGTGACATACCATGAAAATCCGAGGGAGTTATTGGTTTCTTACCATGACCAAGAGGTGTGCCATACTTTTGGCATGCCACCATGACTTGATCGGCAATCTTCATTCCTTTCACCCAACCATATAACTTCAGACCATAGGTTTCTTGTTTAACTAGGGTTTCAATTAGATCGATCAGGAAAATAGCGCATAAAACATCGCCTCCACGATGACAACACGGTTTTACAGAACACTCAGGAACTTTGCTAGAAAAAATAATCATCGTGGGGGAAGGGTCTAATGCACTAAAAGCACTAAAATACAAGACCCACCTTGGCGTCCATGGATTTTCATTTCTTTAGTCACACCGGGCTTCAACTTGTAGATTTTGCAGTGACTACGGGGGGATTCCGAGAGGCGAGAATCAAATTGCCAACCATCAATCTTTAATTTAAACTATATAAACATAAATGATATAAAAACAACCTCGAGAAACCACTCGTTCGTCATCGTTGACCAAATATGTCCAAATGGTTTGTCCCAAGCATCCCTCGGAAGCGGAGGAAACACCTGGAAAACATGGGAAGAAATGAATGGTCAGAAAAGTAAAAACCTGTAAACACATCGCCTCGGTGGGGTGCTTGTTCGTGATGCGAATGATTTGCGGCTCTGGGTCATTCATAGGAAATTTCAAAGACTAAAAATGGAAAAATTTAAGAGAAAAAAGAAACATACCGGTATTTGCCCTTTCTTATCGAAATCAACAACGAGAAATTCGGCGGTGCGATACGTGAGTGAATGGCACGTGAGCGGAGATGAAAAGAGTTGTTTGCAGGAAGCCATTTGCGAAAGATTGCGAAAGAATACAAATCTGAAAATTGAAAAAGATTATCGAATTTAGTTGAAAACATATCAATTTCGGAAAGTTTGGGGTGCGACCCGCTTTAACCTTATCATCGAGGATGATTTTGCTTCAGAATAGCCGAATTGCACAAAGAAGGTTAAAAGGGTTTCCCCCAAAGCGCTTACAAAATAACAAGAACGCGCAGCATCCAACACAAGATTAATACTCGTCGGTGGCGACACAAATGTTAGTAAGCTCTCTCTACAATGTTAAACCAGTTATCTAAACAGGATTTGAAACCTGAAGGGTAGCAGAAAGTAAGTTGAATTTATAATTTTACGGTTTATTAATACAAAACCAAAATGCAACAATACCCATTACAAAAACAGCATGCGCATCAAAAGAAACAACCAAGTCGCCCCAGAAAGAAGGCAAAAGCAACCCGCAGATCAAAAAAAAACAATTTCGGGAAGGGAGAAAAGGGCGAAAAATGCGACGCGAATAATTGCAAAATAGCAACGCAAATAGGAAGGAAACGGACGCGACCGGAAATACAAATCTAAAATCAGCCAATTTAAAAAATTTCCAAAAAAATTCGGGGGGGGCAGACACTTATCTCGACTTTGACCCTGATTTTCTCTATGTTTTTATCGGCAAGTTTACAAAACAGATTCTATATTTTTTCAGTCAAATTTAATGTAGATTCTAATAAAAGAAACGAAGAGTTGATTGGGTTTCTAGACCTGGAGTTATGGACCATTTAATTGGATCGACTCTTCTAAGTGGATAGTCTGACTTTGACAGAGATTTTCTCTATGTTTTTACACTAAGGTGTATTAATCTTGTTTTAAACATGGACAACAGAGTTTTTTCGAGTTCGCGAGGCTCAATTGATTATTGATTTGTGATTTTGAAAGTTTTGTTCACTTGTTTTGTTATTTTTAAGTTAATTCTCCAAATGGTCGAGAAATTAGGAGCACTTGCCGGGAGCGGTTTTTCAAAATGCTGTCATTTTTAGAAATCCCTCTAAAAGTTTCCTAGTTGATTTTATTTTCTAATTTTTATAGCCAAAAGATAGCCAATCTTTTACAGAATTTAATTCTTATTACAGTTTTGAAATCACTTTTTTAGTTTTTGAGTTATCGCTCTCTGTGTTTAGTTAAAATTCTCTGTGGACGCATAAATTTTTGCTCATTTTTATTGCAAAAAATTTCTATAAAAATGAAAAACTTATTGAAAACTGTTGTTGTATTTCCAGTTTGGAGGTGATAAAGAATTTTTTTGAATCTTTCAAATCATTTGAGTTATTTTCTGAGACTGAAGATTCTCTTATCCTGGTAATACAAGTAAGCTGTGTGACCACAGAGCTCACGAAAATTGTGATAACTCAAAATCTAAAGAAGTTATTTAAAAACAGTAATAAGATTTGAATTCTGTGAAAAATTGGCTATCTTTTGGGTAAAAACACTTATGAAATAGCAACAATTAGAAAGAAATCAATTGAAGAGAATTTAAAAAGCACAAAACTTTCGCCGAATTAGAGAGAATACAATTAAAGACAAGTTAAAAATTTCAAAAATTCTTTTGTCAGCGGTGACGCACGCTTCAAGACGTCGAAGGCGTCAACTGTGGCAACCAAGTAGGCAATATCAAGCTCATTTCATGCTTTAAGGAGCTTTAAGGAATTTCTTTAACGAATCAACTGTTCGCTGTGATTTAGCACACGCTTCTAAGATTGACCAGACTGAAAAATCCAAGCGGATTAAGATCCGGCGAGCTTGGAGGCGACTCGTTGAATGAGATGAGATTTGATAGGTTCTGCTCACACCAATCCTGGACTATTCGAGACTTGTGATCCGGTGCTCCATCTTGCTGAAATATCCAGCTACGCTGTCCAAGTTTTAAATTCTGGAAAAATTGGCTATCTTTTGGCTAAAAACACTTATGAAATAGCAAAAATTAGAAAGAAATCAATTGAAGAGAATTTAAAAAGGACAAAAATTTCGCCGAATTAGAAAGAATTCAATTAAAGAGAAGTTAAAAAAAGGCAAAACTATGTCTATAGCTGTTTCCTGTATTTAGATTCACAAGTTTATTATTTCAAAGCTAAGCCTTTGTTGTTGTTGTTGTTGGTTTTGTTTTTGTTGTTGTTTTTGCTGTTGTGATCTTGTTTCCAATGTTAGGCATCAGCTGAATTGATTTCATCGCTTTTTCTCGACTTTTCTCCTCAAAAAAACGGCACTCGCTAAGCTGCAAAGGGAAATTTGACTTCTTTTTTGTATTCAGAAAGAAAAATTGTGAAAGATACCTTTGCCCAAAAGTGTAGAGAGTCGTTTGTACATTGCTAAAGAGCATTTTCACCGTTGCCAATAACCAATAACCAAATGATGGATAAAGAATTATAATCAATACTTTTATGACCCCATAAAAGATTAAATAAACAGTTGAACTGGAAAGCATCTGAAATGAAATTCATCAAACCTTTTTTCTTTCTTTCTTCTTCCTCTCTTCTTCCTCTCTTCTTCCTTTCATTAGCTCTACTTTAAAGGGACTAAAAAGGATGCGATGCAAGGAGTCGAACCTGCGATCAAAGACTCTTAGAAAGAAAAAGAATATTGGCTTAAAGGGGAGTATTAATCGCGGCCGGGTAACGATAAAAATTTTTTTACGGCAACCACCTGTTTTTTTATTTTAATATCGCTGATTTTATTATAAAAAAGAATAAAAATCACCCGGCTAGAGTGATTTGATGGGTTTACAAATTTTTGGAGACACTGCAAGGCTTGGAGAAAAACAAGATCGTCACTCATCAGACACCTCAGCTAAAAGGCACCTATTTGAGAAAACTAAAACCACAAGCGACCACAAATGGAAAAAAAGATCTAATTGTGTCAATCAAAGCGCTGAAGACGTCCTACGGTGGAGGAGATCCAGTCACTTCTGATGAAGATGCGCTGGAAATTGATAAGATAGGAAGCCGATTTGAGGAACTGCTGTACTTGAGCGAAGATGAAAGTGAGCAAGAGGAAGAATTATAGATTAATTCGCTGGGGCAACTCTTGAAATCTCATCCTTTTTAGTCCCATGAAAAGACCCACGTCTAATTTCTTTCTTTTATTTAAAAACCTGAAACATTAATCGTCCCTCGCTAGTCGTTTGTTTGAGTTTCTTCAACTAAACTCTCTAAGAAATAAAAACGTAAAAAAGAAAAAACACAAACCTTTCTCATTTTCTTGTAAGTGAAGCAATCAAAGCTGATCATGAAAGAGACAATTATCAGAACAGGCGTATTCGATTGCACAATTGCGAAGAGTTGCAGAAGAAAACTTGTAGCTCCAACCAAGAAACACATTCCAAATTGAGCCCACGGCCATTTCAGCGTGAACTCAAAGAAATTTCCTTCAAACGAAACGGCTGTGTAACGGCTGAAATTTATTGTTATTTTGATAGTTATTTTGTTAATTTTGATAGTTCCTATTCGGTTTCCATTTGGTTTCCGGTCGGTTCGCATTATGTTCCCATTAGGTTCCGATTCGGTTCCCATTTGGTTCCCATTTGGTTCCTGTTAGGTTCCAATTCGGTTCGCATTGGGTTCCTATTCGGTTCCCATTCTGTTCCGATTCGTTTCGCATTCGGTTTCCATTCGGTTTCCATTCTGTTCCTATTTGGTTTCCATTTGGTTTCCATTTGGTTTTCATTTGGTTCCCATTTGGTTCGCATTAGGTTTCCATTCTGTACCGATTCAGTTCCCATTCGGTTCCCATTTGGTTCCCGTTAGGTCCCAATTCGGTTTCCATTCGATTTCCATTCTGTTCCTATTCGATTCCTATTTGGTTCCGATTTGGTTTTCATTTGGTTCCCATTTGGTTCGCATTAGGTTCCCATTCTGTACCGATTCGGTTCGCATTCGGTTCCCATTCTGCTCCTATTCGATTCCTACTTGGTTCCCATTCGGTTCCCGCTAGGTCCCAATTCGGCTTTCATTCGGTTTCCATTCTCTTCCTATTCGATTCCTATTTGTTTTCCATTTGGTTCTCATTTGGTTCCCATTTGGTTCGCATTAGGTTCCCATTCTGTACCGATTCGATTCGCATTCGGTTCCCATTTGATTCCCGTTAGGTCCCAATTCGGTTTCCATTCGGTTTCCATTCTGTTCCTAATCGATTCCTATTTGGTTCCGATTTGGTTCCCGTTAGGTTTCCATTAGGTTCCGATTCTGTTCTGATTCTGTTCCGACTCGGGTCCAATTCTGTTCTGATTCGGTTCCTCTCGGTTACCATTCTGTTTTAGCCTTAACTGGAATGTTGACCAATCTGTCGGGATTTGACTAGCTCTGTGCTGTACGTTGACATCAAAAACTATTTTACAAGTCTATTTTGTAAAAGATCTATTTGTCTATAGTATAGATTTTTGTTTTAAATTGTTCTTATTTAATTTACTCCATGCTATCTCTAAAAATATGAATACCAGCCAGCTGCTGGCTCTCTAAAGCTACTGCCAAACTCTGATTTCATTGCCATACTTAAGCGAGACGGTTGCTTGGAAATAAACATTGAAGATTTGCATCCAACCACCATACTGCATCAAATAATACCAAAATGTGTTTCGTGGTGGATTTCTAAAATGAATAACTTAAGCTATTTTGTCAAAAAGCCCCTAGGGCCCTCTCTAGGGCTATTCGAATTTGTCAAAGGCCCCTAGGGCCCTCTCTAGGGCTATTCGAATTTGTCAAAGGCCCCTAGGGCCCTCTCTAGGGCTATTCGAAGCTATGGGATAATTTGTGTGGCAACCAGGTTCTAGAGGCTTTTTGGCAAAATGAATGAATCCCAAAAGGAATGGATGAAATGTGCTTAGGATTATCTCTTTACTGACAAGCTCTGGAACATTGTACATAGCAATTGTCCAAGTAATGCCATGGTGTAAATGAGTCGAGTCACACCTTCACCCGTTGTGATTATTCTGAAGATAAGCATAAGATAAGATGTAAAGATAGGATGGC